CCTCTAAAGGAGAGAACTCAGGGCACAGAAAGTTGCTGAATTTTACTGCTTGCCTTACAGCAGGGCGGTATTCAAGAAGAATTGAAAGAAGTAAGGGACTTAGGTTTGAAACTAGATTTTCCTGCATTCATGGGCATTGAAAGAGGTGCATGAGTAAGGAAAAATGCATGAGAAAGCATGATTTTTGCATTTGTAGATTCCAATAAATACATTTTTGTAGTAATTCAGTGGATGAATCAAGAACATTTCCCTTGAGGCTTGAGGAGCAGCTTTTTTAATTCTTCCTTGGATTCTGTTCTGAGTCACAAAATAATAATAATGAAGTTAGACCAAGACAAGTGTTTGTATTGAGACAAATTCCAAGGTTGGTTTTATTTTAAGGCTTGTGACAAACAAAACCGTCATTTACTAGGGGGATATTGGGTGACCAGCCTTTTTTGGGGGTTAACTTGTACCAGTAGTTCACAAATGATTGATTTTGGGCCAGCAGTTGCATTCAGCATTCTGTAACTGCTATCAATTTGTTTTAAAACAGTTGTTAAAGTATCCTGAATGATTTCATAACATTACTTTTCTGTTAAACCCATTGCTGTGATTGATGCAGAAAGGATGGGTGGTTACTAATGGCACTCTTGAATAGGAGTGGAAATTAGCAAAAAGGTAACCTTGTAGGTAAGATCTGCACCATACTAGTAGAAGGCCTTACATTTTGCCCTCCAGAGACTGTAGGTCTTCTTTTGAATTTGCAGAAATATTACAGAAACTGTTTATGAGCTTGAAAGGTGATGGAGTTCTCCTCTTGAAATCATATTGCCCGGTTACCTGCCTTGTTTTTTTTGTTTGAGGTTTGTGTTTTGTTTTTTTTTTTTTTAATGGCCTGTTCTTTCTTGTTAATTAAATATAACATTGTGCTATCTGCTGCTCTTTGAGACATAGTTCCTTGCTGTGACAGTGAACAAGACGGACATCCAGCTATGAAGCAGAAACTCTATTTGTATGTGCACTGGTTTGATCAAAGTTACATAATTATGCTTTTGTTGAGCATTAATCATTCATGAATACAGGCCTTTCAAGGAAAGAAAAATGTGAATCTTTGACAAAAAGCCAAATCTTTTTAATAGTCAAAGTAGCAGTCGAAGAATGATGGTGGTGTTTGTTCCTACCAAACTGTCTGTTCTAAACTGTTACGCAAGTGCAATTCTGCTTGGTGTGCAGTCTTAATTATTCGGGAGTTACACATCTCTGTCTTATAAAAATAAGCAGTCAGTCTAGCATGTGCGGTTCTGAGAAGTATAACAAGAGTAGTTTTGTGTACTTGAACCCTTTCTTATGTAATTCCCACTCCTGAAATGTTTTTGTTGAAGTGCTGAAGTAGTTCTGACCATGAAATTTCTGGTGTTCTTTGCTTCTGCTGATACAGTCACTTGCTTCTTTGGATGGGAGGTAAAACCTGAAAAAAGACACCAAAATTGTATCTGCAAACTGGTGAAAATACACCATGCCAAGGAAAGACACTCCCTTCCTGATAGCCTTCTTTCCCTTCCCAGTGGTTTTCTTTATTCACTCCTTCCATTTTTCTTAAGAATTCCTTTGTTAACTAATTTCTTGCTTTGTTTCAGTTCTGCCATTTTTTATCCATACAACAGGATTGTCTAGTCAGCATGAGAAAGTTTCAGAGATGGTCTCAATTTATGTATATACATTATCCCTCACAATTTGGCACTGTCCTTTTTAACCCTGCTCTCCCCTGCAAGTCCTGTTCATTGAATTTAAGTAATTTCACTCTATATGTATAGATTTTTATATAGAGATTTTTTCTTTCCTCGTCACTTTCATCCCTCTCTGGATTCCCCCAATTAATGCACCTCCTGTATTAACCATTGAGCAGAACTTAATAAATACATTTGTATCCAGAATCTGCATTAAAACATTAGCCTGCATTGTGATATCTTGGCATGCATGTACAATTGTCTGGAATTTGTGACTGTTTCTCTAGAAGATAATGCATGCTGTTTCAAACTCTTGAAGAGTTTGAATGTCCATTTAGACTGGAAATGTTTTAAGAGGATCCTGATGGATGTCTTTAGGCTGTTTCGTGATGATAGGCAGGGAAGAAGAGGAGGAGGAGTCACACCCTATGTTAAGGAGAACCTTGAATGTATAGAATTCAGCTACAGCAATTATGGAGGCCCTGTTGAATGCCTCTGGATCAAGATCAGATGGCCCATCTCCAAGGGAGACCTTACAGTAGGCATCTGCTACCAACCTCCAAACCAAGACAGTAAATCCAATGAAGCAGTATTTGGGTCACTTAAGGAAGTTTTGGGTCAACAGAACCTGGTTCTTGTGGGTGCCCAGACATTCGATCAAAGAATAATGCAGCAGTTCATGTCATCTGTCAAGTTCCTGGAATGCATAGAGGACTGCTTCCTCATACAAATGTTAGATGAGCCAACAAGGAATGCGGCACTACTGAACTTGCTACTCACAAACCAAGAAAACCTGCCTTGTAATATCTCGGTTAGTGATAGCCTTGGCTGTGGTGATCACAATATTGTGAAGTTTGGGATCCTGCTGAGCATGCTGAAGGTTAGTACTAAGACAAAGCTTTTAGATTTTAGAAGAGCAAACTTCAGCTCAGTCTGAGCTCAGTTGGGAGGGATTTCATGGGAAGCTTCCTTGGAGGATAAAGGAGCTAGCGAGTGCTGGAAGTTCTTAAAAAATGCTCTCCTGGAAGCACAAAAACAGTTCATCCCCTTCTAAATATAAGGGAAGCAGGGGGAGCAAGAAACGCCCTTGGCTTAACTGTGAGCTTCTAAGTCTGTTCAAAGCAAAAACAGAAGCATAGCAGAGATGGAAAAGCAGACAAACACATGTTGAGAACTATAATGACATTGCCAGGACATGCAGAGTTGCTTTCTAGCAAAAGCTCAGCTTAAATTGAAATTGGCCAGAGATGTCCAAAACTACAAGAATCTTCAGGTACATAAACAACGTACATAAACAACAAGTAGAATCAGAAAGAAAATACTGGCTCACTGTTAGACAGGAGAGGTGAATTAGTCACCAACAATGCTGAAAAGGCAGTGGTTCTCAACACTTCATTCACCTCTGTCTTTACCAGCACTGTTGGACCCAGACACTGGGAGCAAGAATACAGGTTGATGCAAACACAGACTCACCCTCAGTGAATAAAGAGTTGGTATATGAACTATTACAGGAGCTTGACTCACACAGTCAGTGGACAGTATGCACCTGAGGGTGTTAAGAGAGGTGGCAGACCTCGTTGCAAGACCGCTCTCCATAATTTTTGAGAAGTTGTGGAGATCTAGGGACATCCTAGAAGACTGCAAAGAAGCCTCATGTCATCCCCAACTACAAGAAGGGCTTAAAGGAGGATCCAGTAAATTACAGTCCCATCAGTCTTACTTCAGTACCTGGGAAGGTTATGGAATGATTCATCCTGGGGGCTGTCACAAGTCAAATGAAACATGTGATTGGGAAAAGCCATCATGGATTCACCAAGGGCAAATTATGCTTGACAAACATGATCTCCTTCTATGACAAAGTAGCCTGCTTGGTTGATGTGGGGTAAGCGGTGGACATTGTCTGCCAGGATTTCTCCAAATCTTTCCACATGGTTTCCCACAGCCTTCTCCTAGAGAAACTGATGTTATGGACTAGACAGGTGGTCTGTGTGGTGGGTTGGGAACTGGCTGACAGGCCACACCCAGAGGGTGGTGGGCAATAGCTTCCTTTCAAACTGGTAACCTGTCACAATAGGGGTCCCCCAGGGTTCAATACCAGGCCCAACGCTGTTTAATATCTTTGTAAGTTATCTGGATGATGGGTTCAGGTGTACCCTGATGAAGTTTGCCAATGATACCAAACTGAATGGGGAAGTGGACAGTTTGGAAGGGAGAACTATGGTGCAGGAACACCTGGATAGGCTGGAAGAGTGGGTTAACAAGAACCTTATGAAGTTCAACAAAGACAAGTGTAAGGTCTTGCACCTGGGAAAACAGAATCCAGGAGTGCAGCACAGGCTGGGATCTACCTGGCTAGGGAGCAGCTCTGTGGAAAAGGACGGGGGTTGCTGGTAGACAACAAGCTCAGTATGAGTGAACAGTGTGCTGCAGCGGCAAAGCAAGCCAACGGGATGCTGGGTTGCATCAACCAGAGCATCACCAGCAGAGATAAAGAAGTTATTATTTCCCTCTACTCAGTGCTTGACAGACCACACCTGGCATACTGTGTTCAGTTTTGGTCCCCACTGTACAAAAAAGATGTGGACAGGCTGGAGAGGGTCCAAAAAAGGGCCACAAAGATGATTGGAGGACTGGGAAGCCTGCTGTATGAGGAAAAGCTGAGAGAACTGGGCTTGTTCAGCTTTGAGAAAAGAAAGTTTAGGGGAGATCTTATCACCATGTTCCTTTTTTTAAAGGGTAGTGAGTCCCTTCATACAAGGAGTCACATGGAAAAGACAAGGGTTAATGGGTACAAATTACTCCTGGGGTGATTCCAGTTGGACACAAAATTTTTCACAATGAGAACAATCGGCTGTTGGAATAAACTCCTCAGGGAAGTGGTGGATTCCCCAACGTTGGATAATTTTAAGATTCATTTTGATAGGGTGCTGGACCATTATGTCTAAACCATGCTTTTACCATGAAAAGTTGGACCAGATGATCCTCAGGATCCCTTCCAACCTGGTATTCTGTGATTCTGTGATGAGTTAGAATCCAGTGTCTAAATTATTTGGGCAATTTGGAAAGTCTCATTCTGTACAACCAGAGAATTGATTTTTCTAGCTTTTGCTACAACATAGTGTTTCTTCTAAGTCTTTTAATTGAAAAGCAGACATCTCTCTGAGGTCTAGGAAGTAAAGATGACATGGTGTTATTACAAAAATTACTAAAAGTTTAGCATATAATGTTGCTGATAAAGTAAACAAATCTAGTTTTAGCAAACTCATGCTTGCATTCTTACATTCTATGCAGACTGCATCCTCAGCTATTAAAGGTGCTATCCAGCTGGGAATAGGATACACAGTAGGAAACCTTACATCTAAACCGGACAGAGACGTTCTTATGCAAGATTTCTATGTAGTGGAAAGTGTCTTCCTACCGAGGTAAGGATAAGCCTATTCAATTTATTTTTAATAGAATTTCATAATGAAACTCTTAACTAGATATTTTAAACAAGGATTGTTCTCCAGTTCTAATGAAATGGCGATAGAGTAAATTTAATGTATGAGAACTTGAAAATTATTCAGTCTTGATGTTGTCATTGAAAATAAAGGTAGGGAAAAAGCTGGGAATATCACAGTTTTAACTGAAGATTTCAGACTTGCCACTTCTAGAGAAGGAAAGTAAGTGTGACACTTTGAATTAAAGGAGCTGTTAATTACAGTTGGAAGTGATTTGTGGATCTGTGTGCACTGAAGTATTCAGCATTCATGTTTGTTTAGTTTCAGTTTATTATTCTCAGTTTTAAGAAACTACTTGTGTATTTGTTGAAATGTTATCAAAACTCATGAAAATTCAAGTACCGTAGTGTAAAGAGTGATATAAGAGTTTACACCACACTGTAAAATTCTAGCCAGGACTTTAACCTGTGATGAGGCTCAGCTCATACTAGCTGACTACACTGCACCATTACTGCTTTGCATTTGGCCACCTCAGCTTGTATCACTGCCAAGTTGATGGTGTAGAATTTGTAATAATACAGTTATGCCAATGAAAGAAATCAAGCTCATACTCATTTTGGGGGTTCAGTAACTGAAGTACAGTGCCATGTAACTTTTCCAAGTTATGTATGCTAGGAATGGACAAAGAAGGTTTAGGAAAAATGTATTTCAAAACCAGGATGACTTGCTGTGTTCAGTGTTGTCAGGGTTCTTAGAATTGCAAAGTACTGGTAGTGTCCATCATTTCCATAAAGGTATGCTATGTATGCAGCATTCTGTGAATTTGGGAATGCTTTCTATGCTATTCAAATGCTACTTGAAAATGCTTTTCAAAGTTTTGTTCATGTGCAGTTTGAATGCTACTTCATAAAATGTTTCTAATAATTTACAATCCTTAAAATTTACTGATACCACTAAAGCAAAGTTAAATTGACAATGTACAAAGTAATTGCAGGTACTTTGAAGTTGATCTCTTCTCATGTAAGTTTGCTTGATTTAATTTCTGTTTTCCTCTGAACTGAGAGATCCTTTAACAAGAAGAAAATCTATTTCTCAGGTGAAACGAAGATTTCACATTACAATCTTTAGTTCCTAGTAATTGAGGGTATTCATATCCTTGTTCTGGTGTTAACTGTTAAGGTTTGTGCACAGTTCTGTAGTCATTCTCTTGTAAATTATGTAAAGATAGAGAGGCTAACGATGTCCATGTCTTTTCATATGCTGTAATCACAAAATTTTGTTTGTTTAAAAAAATCCAAATTACAGCTGATAAATTTGCATATCAGGTAATAAAGTTTTTATTTGTCTGAAAAATTGAGTGAGAAGGAGTGAGCCATCATATTTGTGAAATGTGTGACTGACAGTGATACAGGCTTCTGTAGTTTGTTTGTGATACCAGCTTTGCTGTTCATGGAAATGAAATGAAACGTACATGCTAAAACTGTTTTATTACATAGCACGGTTTTGAGAAAAAAAATCTAATCTCTATCTTTTTTAACATAGTTCTAAACAAACAAGTAAAATAAAATGGTTTGTAGTCCATAGCATTGCATATATCTTCTCTCCTGTGAAATTTGCATGCATGTATACTCAGAAATGAGATTTCCCTGGTTTGTGTTAGTTTTAAGGGAGAGATGGGAGAGATGCCTTCTGTCTTGAAAAGAAAACAAAAGGCAGAAGGAATTGCCTGTTCACACTAACATAAAATGTATTATAAAGCTTTAGTAGTACCTTTCTGGACAGTTTCCTATAAATAAATAAATCATATGAGCAAAAATAGGCAAATAAAAGCAATGGCCAGAGCAGCATAGCGCTTTTTTTCCCCCATAGCTATATAGTACTCAGGAGTATTTAATATAGTGAGTCATCTTGACTGTAACAAAGAGCCTCTCTATAAAGAGCACTTCCTGATAACATTCTCTGTGAAACTGAAAATTTGCCGTCTATAGCAGTCTCTTAAAACCATGACACTTGGCTTCTTACAGAAATGCCAGATTTCATGTCCTTCCTCTGTCTCAGTGTAACATGCACATTCAATTTGACTAAAATGGTTTCAATCCAAAGTGGTATTAGTTTGTATAAATTGTAATAATTTAAGATTACACATAGTGATACAGGCTTCTTGCTCGTTGAGGGTGTTGGGATGTTGAGTCTTTCATGGTGGCATTATGTGGATCACTCCTGAGTCATAGGTAGCTTTGTTACCCTGGTCAGAGGCAAAAAGCTAAGGTTGCATCTTCTTTTCAGATAGGGCTGTGCTCCCAAGGTGCACCTCAGGTGCTCTTCCCTTTTTCCTAGGACAGTATATACATGTGAAGGCAGTATTGTTAAAAGTCATTACTTTAATGACTTTTTTCTCACCCCTTTGAATTGGTCTGAGTTGAATTAGGTACACCCGCAGGCCCAGTGGACTGACCTATACCTGGAAGCACCCCAGAGTAAGCCAAATTTAAGTGAGCTTTTTGCCGGATGTCTGCAGCTGGAGGAGAAACTGACGGTGCAGTAAGTGTGGTGCTGAAAGCAGGATCTTACCAAGCAAGGAGCAGCATTTTTCCACTTGCTTTGAGTATGCATAATTCACCTGCAACTCCAAGCAGGCTATTAGCTGAACTTCCCCTCATTGTGGCCAGTTCACAGCAACCTGCCTCTTAACAAGCTGTCCTGTTCCGCTGTCCACCTGTGTTTTCCCTGCATCCACCTCACCTCCTCTGGGTCTGGCAGCAAGGTGAGAGGACAGCCTGTTTTGCAGAGTGATAGGCACACCCTGCTTTGACAGCAACAGGAGCACTGTCAGTGGTGTCAGTGATGAAATAGACATGAGCTAGTAGAAATGCAATGAAACGGCAGCCTGCACAGCAGTGAGCAAAGTAGTGTTATCTGTGCACTATTACTATTAGGGGAAAATAGTCAGCAGTTGTTCATAAATTTTATCAGTTGCAGAAAATAAATAGTTTCTGCATCTCTCTCAGCCCTTGAAGTAAACCTCAGCACTGCCTGTACCTCAGCTTTGGTAATCATAGCAAATTACTTTCAGTGGTCTTCAGAATTCATGAAGGGGGGAAAAAATGTGGTCAGTTCAGACCTGAACGTAACTGTCCTGCTTATTCCCTGTGGGAGCTACTGATGTGAACTGGGAATAACTCCATGGACTACAGGTTATGCCTGGTCCAGAGTTAGTTTGTAACTGGGTTACAGTTTAGCCCAGATTCATTTAGGTGTTTATTTCAGGATGTGACTTTGAATTGCAGGTACATCTGTACAGTAGGTAGATTTGAATTGCAAAGGTGCTTGCTTTCATTTGTACATTGTAATGGTGGAGGGGATGGAAAGGTGCCTTTGTCACTTTCTATTTCACACTGTAGCATCCCATTTATCCTTTCTCTTCATATTGCCTAGGAGTTTATAGCATGCTGTTTTTGGGAACTAAGTGAGGTTAGGAGATAGGGACTGCTATAAAGGAATTAATTGAGAACCACAGTCCGAACTGAGTTTAAATGACACTGCAAATGTGCTCCTTTGAGAAACAAATGCAGTTTGCAGGGACACAGTTGATTCTGAAGATACAGTTTCTGAAGTCTCCACCTAGCTCCCTGAAGAGGGTGAAACCACAAGGGAACTACTCCAAGTAACCTCTCTTCTGTCTTTTAAACACTGCTTTGAAAATCCATCAGCAGAGTTGCTTAGCTGGTGCTGGTACTGTTGCAGCAGTGATGGGAAGTTGGTGCATCCTGCCTGTGCTCTCTGCACTCTGTCCTATGACTCAGTTGTGTGGGGCATATTGTCCCCTTCCCATGTTACGCTCTGCACTTCTGACTTTCTTGGTTGGAACCAGTTCATTCTTTAGTGGTACATTTTGTCTCCAAATTGGTGCAGTGTGGCTACACCAGAGATTTGACAGCTGTTTGACTCAGGTGTGGAGCTGACTCCAAGTAATGTGGTCATGGTTAGAAAGGCTTGTTGCCAAGCTATTAAGCCTAGCTGTGTCAGGCAGTGGTGGCCCACGCTGGCTGCTGGGCCATGGGACCATGCAGCTGCCTGTGAGTTAACAATGTGGAGAGCTTGCTAAGCTCTTCCAGAGACACATACTAAGTAGGCACATTTTCTATGATGATGCTTGACAAGCCAAACAGAAGCAGCTTCACTCTGACAGCTAACTTTGGCTAGTTAGAAATGCAGAACTTTTGGAGCAAGGTAGTATGTTCAGTCTCCATGTCATTTTGTTTTCTTAGATGGAGGCTGCTGCTAAGCACAGTTGTGAGTCTGACCTTTTTGCAGCAATTTTTAATGTCTTGTGTGCCTCGCTTGCTTATACGCTTTATTTTCAGGGTCTAGACCCTGCATATTGAGAACACTTGCTATTGTTTCTAATTTAGCTGTTAAGTCTGTTAGATGCTGACCTGTTTGCACCCTGCAGCTACAGTCATCTGTACAGTGAACTGGCTCAATTACAAATTGCTTTCTTGTGATGCTAATGAAAGATTATTCAGTGCTTTCTGCTATTTAATGTCAAAAGCTTAATATTGCATTGTGATAGTATTTAGATGACAGCCCAAGTAAGTAGTCAAAAGTACTAAGAAAAGTAAAATCCTATACATATTTTCACCAGTCTGGATTTTACCCTACATCTAAAACTGAAGTGTCTTGCTTTCTGGTATGTTTTTGAGGACTGATTTAGAAAAATTATGATAATTGAAACCTGCCCTTGGAAGTACCTTTCTACCAAACCTGTGTCGTAGGTTACCTGATAGGCTAAGTGTAGTGTCTTTGTAATTAAAGAAGTATAGAATGCTCTGCAGAATCAGTGTGAATAGTACTCAAATGTTCATGCTAAGGCTTAGTTGTTGTGTAACTTATACCACTCTATTTGTTTCCAGTTGGTCAGTTTCACAAGACAGATAAGAAAATGGCCTGAAAGCTTTGATAAAGTGCTGCTGCTCTGCTTTGGTTGCAGAGATGCATAGGATGACCTAAGTTCTGACACACTTTTTATGGGTTGTGAAGTGAGTGCTAACACAGGTGGAAGGAAGTAGTTTCTCTTTGCAAAACAAATAGTATTCAAAAAGGGGATATTGTGGCAACAAAAGCAAACCCATGGTCATTATGAATTACTGGTCTTAGCTACTTATGGCGCTGTGAAATTCTTGGTAAACCTGTGATAACTTGGATTCTTGTGTGATTATGCAGACGAACTATTTTTAAAGTACTCTGAGATCCCTTGCTTTAATAGCATCTCCAATTGGTTGTGAAATAGTCATATCATCATAATTATAAGAAAATGTCTGTGTATTCAGTTGTTGCGTAGATATGATTGGCTTGACTTGTTTTGAAGGTATTTACTCTTCACAGTTGTATTTCAGAGCTGCCATGAAGGGGACTGATTAGGATAGCATATAGTAACCAAAAGTATAGGAGAACATACAGTGAGAAACAAGGACGACTGAATTTTATCTCACAGTATGAAAAAAACAAACACACACTTGTTTGTACAGGTAGCTATGATATCTACTTCCACAATGTGGGAAAAAATTGCTTTCCTGAAATGGTATATAGGAAATGAATACACCAAAGCACTACCTGATCTGTCAGTATGTACTTATTGGATACAGGTTGTAGAGTTTAAACACATCTTGATTTATTGTAAAAGAGCAGATTTATCCAAAGCAGTGAAACTGAGATTGGATACTCTTAGTTTTTATTATTGGGAGCATTTAATTTTAGAAGTTTTATTTTCATTTTTTTAAAAAGAGTTGCTTTCACATGAGAGAACTGAGGTGTTCCTGCTCTTTGCTCTTTTTACAGTAGAGTATGTTCTTTATACAGGAAGGGGTATCCATGGGCCCATAACTGCAGCATAACTATTTCTTTTGTTAACAGCTACATCGGAGCCTATTAATATTGGTCTGCGATGAAGGCTTGCTACCAAGAGATGTAGTTAGCTTTCTCTAACCCCTTCAGAGAGGAGTGCTATCTCCTCAGTACAGCCTAACAGAGTGAGGCCATAGTAAAGAAAAGCTGCCAAGAAACATATCTGGGTGTCTTGTTTAGCAAAATTTTTGCAAGACATGGGATTAGTTTTAGTTCATTTTTAGTTTGATATTGCACCACCTACACTTGAAATTCAACCCTCAGTATTTACTAAGAGACAGGTTAAGATGCACATACTGTAGTTTCTAGGTGTGTTTGATTTAAAACAAAATTCTAAAATTGAAGTACTAAAGCAAACTTGCACAATAAGCTTAATCTCTCTTTTTTAAATCTACCTACCAATCTTTTGCTTTTGTGTGGTCTTACAGCTAAGGTTATTATCCTGGTTTCAGCTAGAATAAAGTTCATTTTCTTCTAGTAGGTGGTGTAGTGCTGTGTTTTGGATTTAGGGTAAGAATGATGTTTATAACACACTGATGTTTTAGTTGTTGCTAAGCAGTATTTATAGTAAGTCAAGGACTTTTCAGTTTCTTGTACTCCCCTGCCAGCGGAGGTTGAGAGTGCATAAGAAGCTGGGAGGGGACACAGCAAGGGCAGCTGACCCAAACAAGCCAAAGGGGTATTCCACACCATATGATATCATGCCCAATATATAAACTGGGGAGATTTGCCTGGGGGACAGCGAGGTTCAGGGATTGACTGAGCATCAGGCAGTGGGTGGTGAGCAATTTTGTATTGTGCATCACTTTTTTTTGCATGTTCTATTATTATTATGGTGGCTCTCTCAATCCCCATTACCATTGTCCATGTCCATGCACTGCCCGGCCTCTCACTCCCATGCACACAGCCCAACTGCCAAGAATAACAGTACACTATTGTGGCCTGAATGAAGTCATGCCGCCGCTGAGTGCTGCCATGTCTGACATGCTAGAATGTCAGTATGAATTGGAGTCAAAGATGGCCAAGTGGTACGCCGTGACTGATACTGCTAATTCTTTTTTCTCAATCCTACTGGCAGCAGAGTGCTGGCCACAGTTTGCTTTTACTTGGAGGAACGTACAGTATACTTGGAATTGACTGCCCCAGGGGTGGAAACATAACCCCTCACTAGGTGCCAAAAAGGACCCAAAAAGGTCATGGTTTAACTTCAGCTGGAATTTAAGCACCACACAGCTGGTCACTCACTCCACCTCTGCAACCAGATGAGGGAGAGAATTAGAAAGAAAAAGTAGAACTTGTGAGTTGAGATAAAGACAGCTTAATAGAACAGAAAAGGAAGGGAAAAGAATTATAATAATGTTTAACAGAAATGGTAGATCATGATAAAAAGCTCTGCAGACCTTTATTAAAAGGGATTTTAAAAGATGATTTTACAAAAAATAAGAAAACTCGTCTGCATAGTGAAGTTGACTCATATCTGTAATAAAGTAAGCTCATGTGCTCTAAATAAAGGGAATTGCCTGCTGTGTAGATGCTATTCCAAAATAATTGCTCTGTTTTGCAATTATTCTGGAATAAATCTCCACTTACTGTCCACCTGCAGACCCAGTATTGGTCATTTTACTCCATATACACCTATGAAATCTCTTAGACCAATGGTATTATCATAGCAAACCTTCTACCTTAATTTCAGCCTGGTGAAGTTCCAACAACAGTACCTGTTCTGGTATAGTAAGGGCATGTAATCTATTTATTGTCACACTTTCACAAAAGAAGCATTTGAGTTACAGCTGCAGGAAGCAGATTTTATAAAGGTGTTTATGTACTGGAAAGGAGGATTTTTAAAATAAAGTTTAGGTGATTAATCTTCTCTGAAAATGATGTGATGCTTCAGCAGAGGACACTCTGTTCTGTTCTTGTCTGCATCTTACAACAATTAAATGCATTTACAGGTATGCCCCCTGGTTCCCAGTGTAGCTATATGTTACCCCTGTGGCAGCCTCATATTGCACACAAAATTCAGTGAGATGCCTCCAGCTATGTAGAACTTCATGTCAGACAAGACTGGCAGTGTTCTGAACAGCTGGAAGACCTTGTGAGAAGAAGCATTAGCCAATCTTAACTGTAAAGAAAAACTACCATCTTCAGCCTAGTATCCTACTTATTTCCATCTTTTACTGTATAGTGGAACAATAAAATTCATGTGGATTTGATTTTCCTACCTTGGGTTTGTGATACGGTAAGACTATAAGGCGATCAGATTAGTTCATTAGGACTGGGCAACAGGGGTTTTTTTCCCTCCTTTTTTTCTCCTATTCAAGAGATTAAAGTATACACATTTGTGGAATCTGAGAAAGCTTGTTCACCAGCTCACACTGTTTAATTAGCAGGAGTTCATTTCTGTTGAGTTTTGGTGGTAGGCATGCAGGGGCAGCTAAGTGGGTTGGGTGGACTTCTGTCATCAAGTTGTTATTAATGGAAGGTAACAGCTTTATATGACAAACATTAATTGCACAGGATCAAAGTTCTTAAATAATTTCATTATACTTAATACAGTTTTTGCAGGGTTGTTGCTTCCTTTTCATATCTGTATGAATTCCTAGCTTTTTTCTTTTTTGTATACTTTGGCTATACTTATTGCCAAGCATAGAGGTATATGCTACATTTCTAAATAATTTAGAGTAAATGAGTAAAAATGTGCTTGGGAGAGCTGATTTCAGCCACTGTGTCAAGTCTTGTATTTTGTACTCATCTATTTATCACATTATTTGGAGACTGACCAAACTTTGTCTTAAAGGTGTTCTTGTTTATGCTGGAATCATGGTGTAGAACTTTACTCTTCCTCTTAATAGCCTTCTTTTAGTTTATATAATAAATGAATCCACAGGCAGTTTTTATCTTCTGGCAGCATTTTGCTTCTGACCGTTTCCTTTAGCTTAAATCATATAGTATTAATTTCAAGACTTAGACAACTGCAGTCTAAAAATACAGTGAGATGGCAAATATAAAACAAGGAAAAGAGCTAAGGGCATTACAATGATGATTTTTTTTTTTTCCCTTTTAAGAAAGACTGTTTTCCAGACTGGTGACCCTAGTAGTCCTTGTATGTGCCTCTTCTAGTTTGTATCTGTATCTTGCATATAAGCATTCCATTTTCCAGAATACCCCAAAGGGTCTGTACCCTGTTCTGTTTAACCAGCTGTGCTTGTAAGGTGGTGCTTGGTTTATATTGAGGTGGGGCAAAACATATTAGGTGACAGGGCAGACAAACAGAAAACCACTTTAAGGTCAACAAAACCAGAGTGGCTTCCCAATTCTGGACTATACTAGCAAGAAAGAAAAACACCAGAACAGCAGTTAGCCTGCCGAAGAGACTAATGCTGAGGATGCAGTTTCATAAATAAGGCAGAGCCAATCATGTTTGCTGGTATGAAAAAGTGTATGCAGCCCCGCTTCCTTCCCACTGCTCTAGCTGCACGGTTTTGCACTGTGCTGTCCTTAGTATCTGTCTGACTCCATTGCAAACCGGTTCAGCTTGCGAAGCTACTGTGAAGTTGTTCTGCTGCGTTGACTTACAAACTTTTTGCAAGACCTTACATGAGGTGGGGGTGACCCTTCCTGTGTCAGTAAGCTGTTAGACTAGCTTATCTTGGAAGGGTATCAGAAATTGTGGCATTAGTTTAAAACCAGTCTTTACACAAATGGATATGGGTGGTGAAAATAGTAATTTCTTTTAAGGCAGGAGAAGAGCATTTTGATGGCAGTATTCTGTCTCTCACAGATACTTCTGTTACACTGATTAATGGTGGTAGGGAAGTTTATCTACATTTATGACTCTTGTCTCAGAAGGCCAATGGTTGAGTTAGGCAGCTTTACAGTAAAACTAGCTACAAGAAGGAAGTAGCTAAAAATTGCTCAGTTTGTTTGGTTTTTTTGTTTGTTTTGTTTTCAGTGAAGGGAGCAATCTCACCCCTGCTCATCATTATCCTGACTTCAGATTTAAGACGTATGCACCTCTTGCCTTCCGCTACTTCAGAGAACTTTTTGGTATCAAGCCTGATGATTACTTGGTAAGAGCTTGAAGTTTTCCTTTGACTTACAAATTATTATAATGTATACTAGTTTCATAGTGACAGAAGGGAATGCTTTAATGGTGTTCAAATGGGTAGTAAATTTTTTATGTGAAGTGGCTTATAACTAGTGAATATTTTTAGTGTTTTATGAAAAAATTAATTCTTCATGTTGGAGATAATGCCTATAAAAACCTGCCTTGTTAATTGACTACAGTAATGAGTATTACTGCTCATTCAGGTCATTGTTTCTAGAGAAGTTATAATCAGTACTTGTGTAACTTCTACCAATTCAGTTCTAATAAAGTGCTTCTGTGTTATCTGCATTATTTATTCACTTCATCAAATAAGTGTTTGCAAATGTTTCATCTAGCCTTGAGAAAAGTGGGTGACAGGCTAAGAGAAACATTTTGGAGTATCCGCTTTGTTCTCTGTATTTTATAGTTTGAAGACTTACTCATTCTCATTATTCAACTCTTAGGTGAGAAAAAAAGTGATGCATTTACTGCCATCATAAAAGCAAGCTTTATTTGGTACGACCACTTTGTGCACTGCCAGGGATGAGGATCCACAATTTTATGTCTGTAATTTTGCTTTTGGAAGGGTGATGTGAAATCAGAGAGCTGGATTGTTGTTTAGATATTTGCCTCATGTCCAGTTTGTCTCATGCCAGTACACCAAACAAATCAGAGTCCCAGTACAAATTAGCAATTTTCTATGTCAGAGTTTTATTGTTAAGGTCTTTTGAATGAGTTTTTAGATCTTTTTGTTCCATTATGGATAACTGTTTAAAACAAAAGAATTTGAAAGAGCTTGAATTATTAAAAAAGAAAAATTGATTAAATGATGCTGAAACATTACTTAATATATTACTTCATGGACTTCTATTATGTTCAAGTGTGTTATAAAGGTTTTTTTCCTTCTTGGACAATGAGCCTAAAAGCAAACCTTAGTGGTTTTACTTTTATTTAGGTTGAATGTGGGAGTCTGGTTTTAATTCTTTTGTACTATGCATGGACTAGCCCTCATGACAATAGTTATATATGGAAATAGATAATTTCTTTGAATTATAGATGTTAGTAGCAGGAAAGTGCAGTTGGGTTGGAGTTTTGTAAATCATAGAATTATAGAATGGTTTGGGTTGGAAAGGACCTTAAAGATCTTCTAGTTCCACCCCCCTCTGCCATGGGCAGGGACACCTTTCACTAGACCAGGTTGCTCAGAGCTCCATCCAACCTGGCCTTGAACACTGCCAGGGAGGGGGCAGCTACAGCTTCTCTGAGAAACCTGTTTCAGTGTCTCACCACCCTTACAGTGAAGAATTTTTTCTTGCTATCTAATCTAATTCTACCCTCTTTCAGGTTAAAGCCATTACCCTTTGTCCTAACACTATATGCCCTTGTAAAAAGTCCCTCTCCAGCCTTCCTGTAGGCCCATTTAGGTACTGGAAGGCTGCTATAACGTGTCCTTGGAGTCTTCTCTTCTCCAGGATTAATAACCCCAACTCTCTCAGCCTGTCTTCATAGGAGAGGTGCTCCATTCCCCTGATAGTCTTTGTGGACCTCCCCTGGATTTGCTTGAGCAGGTCCATGTCCTCCTTTATGTTGGGGACTCCAGAGCTGAACACAGTGCTCCAGGTGGGGTCTCATGAGAAGCAAGAGTAGAGGGGGGAGTATCACCTCCTTCCACCTTCTGGTTGTGCTTCTCTTGATGCAGCCCAGGATTTGGTTGGCTTTCTGGGCTGCAAATGCACATGCTGGGTCATGTTGAGCTTCTTGTCAGCCAGCACCCCCAGGTCCCCCAGAAGTCTGGTTTCAATCCATTCTCTGCCCAGCCTGTATTTGTGCCACTCATCAAAGCTCTCCGCTCAGACATTGAGCCATTGACTGTAACTCTTTGAGTACGACCACCCAGCCAGTTCCTTATCCGCCAAGTGGAATCATCCATCAAATACATGTCTCTGCAATTTAGAAACAAGGATGTCATGTGGGACAGTGTCAAATGCTTTGCGCAAGTCCAGGTAGATGATGTTGGTTGCTCTTCCCATTACCCACCAGTGCTGTAACCCAATCATGGAAGGCCATCAAGTTTGTCAGGTGTGATTTGCCCTAAGTGAAGCCATATTGGCTGTCACCAGTCACCTCCTTGTTTTCCATGTGCCCTAGCATAGTTTTCAAGAGGATCTGTTCTATGATCTCACCTGGTACAGAGTTGAGACTGACAGCTGGTAGAATTAAATTGTCTCTGGAAACCTCATGGATTACTGGCATTTCACAGGGAAATTTCTTGAGTGTAGAGTACTTAATTGTCAGGGACTTGGGAATTTTCTTACTTTCAGTTTCAATTAGGCTTTCAGAAGTGTCCAGTCAAAATTAGCTGTGCTCTTTGTATAGCAGCGCTTGGTGGGTTGACTTTCATTTTACAGGAATGAACTCAAGTGTAAAATGACAAGCAGACGGTGTAGGTTAGTAACTTGTTCTTATTCTATACTGTTTTATAGACCTTTAATGTTTTGGGTAATAGGTTTCAAATGCTTACAGCAATGGCAATTACTCATAAAACTGTTTTGGCAAGAAAAGTGCAGGGGTTGCAGTACAACTGCTGATTTGTTCTGAAGGTTTGTAGTATTACTGACCAGTATTGCTCTTCTATGTGTAGACAATTGCAACTGACAGTATTAATAGGAAAGATCTCTTGTATTAATTGGATCTCAGTGAACTGGAGTAGTTTCATAGCATGCAAAAGTCTCTTAAAAATTGCAATCATGGGAAAAGCCTCAGCTGGAGGCTGAAAATGCATTAAGGCAGTGGTTTGAGTCCATAGGATGCATGCTTCTTTAGTTCAAGTGCTCACAAAAGAACATACTAGATTTTCTTGTATTGCTTTTCTTTGCTATCACTACCCACTGAAATCAATGGCAAGACTACAGTTGAATTTGATGAAAGCTGGTTTCAACAAACTCCTTCTTCTTGTGGAATTGCTCAACTCATCTCAGGCAATGACGTAACAAACCAGGTATTTGTTACTAAAACAGTTATTCCTTTTGTTCTGAGAAGACCAGAAGACATACTGCACTGCTAAGAATAATACCGTCATGCTTACACTACTCACAGTTCACATCCTGTGTAATTTTGTTTCTTTCAAAGACTGAAGCCTTAAAATATTGGACTGTACAGTAAATCTCCAGGTGTGTAAAATTGATGTTATATAACAAAAGAAAACAGTATGTGAATGAAATTTTAATTATACTATATTTTAAATGAGCTCTTGAGTTTAATATAAACAGATTTTTCCATGTTTTTGAGCTTAATGTCTCCTCCATTTAGTTTGAATGAAGCATGAGGTGTGAATATATGGATAATATTAGCTTCTGTGTGAGATCTGATTCTACTAGTAAGGAATACTCCTTGGTGTCTTTTTCAGAGTTAATGTGATCATAAGTTTAATGTCTCCCTGTGGAAGAGAAAGCCTGTATAAGCATCCAAAATAATGGTTCTGCAAAACCAAATTTTTCCTACTTACTGGCATTTAGTTTTTCTGTTTCAAGCAGTTTTCAATCAGAAAACTATATTAGCAATGATATTGAGATTATTATTCTAATGGTCTCAATCCTAGTGTCACAGAAGAGGACTTTCTTATTTTTATATAGTGAAAAACCTCTGCTCCTAGTGTGTTTGTCTAATATCTGTCTGTACCCGTTTCATAAATGGCTGTGAAAAGTGAATGGTTGCAGTGAAAATGTCATCTTAAGGCTTCTGATGCAGTGTGGAATGCTGATGGTGTGAAGATCGACTCCCTGCACTGCAACCACTTGCTTCACTCCAAGGAAAGTTCAGTTGTTGCAGTGGGACATAACACTTAGCTGCCAACTGCTGTTCTACAGTTGTATGGCATGTCCTAGGCAAAGTGGAGTATAACTGTCCTGCAAACTTCAGCCAACTGACTGTGACCCAGCTTGCTGTACAGTAGTAGAGCTACTGCAGTTGAAGATCAAAGAATAAGCTCCATGATTCTGTTTGCCTATTTGAATGTGCAGTTCTTTGTAATAAATTTCTGTTTGAGTAACACGTTACTGAAACTCATGGCAGTGAAAAACAATTTTTTTTTTCTTCCAGTACTCAATCTGCAGTGAGCCTTTAATTGAATTATCCAACCCAGGTGCCAGTGGGTCCTTATTCTTTGTGACTAGTGATGATGAATTCATCATCAAAACAGTTCAACACAAAGAGGCTGAGTTTCTGCAGAAGCTGTTGCCGGGTTATTACATGGTAAGTAATCGAAGACTATATTTTACCTGTATTTTTCCTGTTTCGTGTCACGTTTCTGAAGATTCAGTTTCATTTGTAACCTTTTAATCTTTTATTGGCTTTATCCATATTTTTCATAATATTTTGGACATTTTTTACCTGTCTTTCAGCTTTGTACCCCACATCCCCATCAGAAAGAATAGATATAAATTGAGAATATATTTAAGATAATAATTGCTGTTCTTTTAGCATTCGAGATGAAGCTGAATGTCATCTTCTGATTTGATACTAAACTGCTTGTAATAAGCTAGTAACAAAAAAAGGTTTCTAAATTTCTAATTAGGTTTTTTTTTTCTCCATTTTGTGTTTGTCCACCCTTTTCATTTCACTCAGAGTGGACAAAGAAACTGGATCAGTCAGTTTCACTTTTGGTTTTGGATTACTTCTAATTTCCATTTCTCATATATTAAAACAGTGATGTAAAAATATTTTTATCCATATAATTTGTTCAAAACTTAATTTTACATGGAGCTTTTTGAGTGCTAATGCTAAGCTGATTGTATTGTCTTATGTGTGTCAGTCATCAGAAAGGGAAACCATTGATCCAAAGTAGGTAGAGCTTAATTCTTTTTTTTTTTTTTTTAAAAAAAAAAAAGACAAAACCCACTCATACATATGAACAGACATTCTTCTGGGTAGTATGCAGGACTTCAGAGTATTAGAGCCGTGGCTGACTTTCTTTGCTTTCATAAGTAAACACTTGAAAAGTTACCCTCTCACTTGCACTAAAAATGAGAAATATTGTCCTTATTACACAAAAGTAACATGAATTCAATGTTTGTTTAAAAAAAGTTATGTGCTGACAGCATCAAAAAGAGCAGTGGTGGTCGGTACTTTTTTGTTGTTGTTGTTTATAATAATAATAATAATAATGATAATCAGCTCAGCATAAGTTTGAGTTATTACAAGCAAATATAATGCCACTTTGCTTTGTTTTTCAGAACTTTATTCTCACTGCTACTGTATGCAGGGGTTTCCAAAGCATAAAACTGTGATTATTTCCTGAGAAAGTACTTTCTTCCTGTAGTAGTAAGTTGTGACTTAGTAATCAATTAAGACTTGGAATAGTTTTCCCCCTTTTATTTTTTCATGCTAAAAAATGAGGGTAGTTGTATTCAGAAGGAGGGTTTTCACTCTCACCTCTCTTATCCCCTCTTAATTTTTTGCCTGTTGTGAAATTTGGATTATTTCAAACTCTTCTGTTCTGATGATCAGTCGTGGCTCTGTAACGACCTCATACTCCTGTGGAGACAACTTTGTCATTTGGCAGTAGCCCTCAATGTAAAAAGCCTCATAGAGACATAGGTTCTGTTTTTCAGAATCCAAGTCAAGGTAATAAGAACTACATTTTACCCAAACTCCTTCCAGCAGGTGGAACACAAAGGTTGTTCAGGTCAGAATAAAATTTAATCTTTGGAATGCTTTTAGGTTTGGCATAGTCTGCTCTCATGGGATGTGAGAAAGTGAAACCTGACATAAATGCAGTTACTGCTCTGTTCTTTGTCTGTATGAATTCCTGGCAAAAAGCAGTGCTGATGGTAGCCTTCTGAAATACAGACCCACAAAGAAAATCAACTTGTCAAAGAAACTGTACTGCATAAGAAAACATGCACAGTTTTACTGATGTTTGTTAATGTCCTTTGGTATTAAAAAATACACTCTCTTAAGCATGGAAGTTTATTGAAAATAGACATATATAACAATATCTCTTTTGTTTTAGAATCTGAACCAGAATCCAAGGACTCTTCTACCCAAATTTTATGGACTGTACTGCGTTCAGTCAGGAGGCATTAATATTAGAATTGTTGTAATGAACAATGTTTTACCACGAGCCTTGAAAATGCATTTCATGTACGACTTGAAAGGCTCCACATACAAACGGAGAGCATCGAGAAAAGAGAGGGAGAAGTCCAACCCTACATTCAAAGACTTGGATTTCTTGCAAGACATACATGAAGGGTTGTATTTTGACTCTGAAACACACAGCGCACTAATGAAAACACTACAGCGGGATTGTCGAGTGAGTAAAATTACTGTTTAAACGTCTGTGTTCATATCTGTTCTAGATTTACTTCAGCAGAACGGAGGATGGGATGTGGCTCTGTATGTTGTTTAATCTCCATTCCTTTCCCATGCAATTTAATAAGAAAAAACTATAGATGTCACAGCACTGATGCAGCCCGTACTTTAGTGAAGCTGTTGGGATCTGAGATCATAGAATGGAATATTCTGAGTTGGAAGGGATCTAGAAGAGTTGTTGAATCCAAATCCAGACTCCATACAGGGCAGTCTAAAAGTTAAACCATTTATGTAAGAGTATTGTCCAAATACTTACTGAACACCAGCAGGCTTGGGGCCATCACCACTTTCCTGGGGAACTTGTCCCGGTGCTTGACCACCCTCTCACTGAAGAACTTTCTCCTAATACCCAGCCTGAAGTTCCCTGATGCAGCTTTAAGCCATTTGCTCACATCCTATCACCAGGCACCAGAAATGTACACCACCCTTTCCGCCCTCCTCATGAGGAAGTTGTAGACAGCAGTGAGGTCACCTCTCAGTCTCCTTTTCTCTAAGCTGAACAAACTTGTTACCATCCTTTGGACACATACTAGTATTTTTATATCCTCCTTATGCTGTGAAGCACAAAACTACATGCAATACTTTGATGCAAGGCTGCACCAATGCTGAGTATAGTAGAACAATCACTTCGTTCAACCACTTGTCTATGCTGAGCTTAACACACCCCAGGATACAGTTGACCATTTTGGCCAGGGGAACATTGCTGACTTGTTGAGCTTACCACCCAGCACAACCCCCAGATCTCTTTCTGCAGGACTCTACATCCAGGATTACACTGACTCATCTGTTGAAATACAGATCAATATAGGAAAGTAGTCCAGTGAAAGCTTTTTTTTAATACTTGTTCTTGCTTTCCATTAATTTGGACATTTTAATTCCTTTTTTCCTGAGGCACCATAAATAGCCCTGTGGTACCATTGTTAGATATGACAAACTGTGTAGAGCTGCAAGCTCAGTCCTGCTATGGTAAGTCTACCTCTTAGTTAACAAGAGCTAGGAAACTGAATGGAGGAGGTGTGTCTAGTGGCAGCAATCTTATTTCTGGAGCAAAGTAATTTCTTCCTCAGCTGAAAGGTAGTGCTTAATGTCCACATAACATTTTCAAGGCAGGAGAAGGATATCTGCCATTGTCCTTTGAGAGGACCTTGGTGAATGGAATTGGTGCCTCTTGTGGACAGGGAGCATTATTGTGAAATGGAATTTTTTCTGTAGCAAAGGTAAGAAAATATAAAGTAGAAAAAAGGGGAGTTATCCAGGTCTCTCAGTTTCACAAGATTCACGGGGTTTGTGGAAAGATATATATATATATATATATTAAAAAGTCAACTGGCATAATTTTTCTATTCAGGTAACTTTTACTCTGTTGTAAAACAAAGGGAGCAGACACTATTACGTTTCACGTAGCTGAATTTATTCAACAGATGAGATTGAATCTGGCTACCTGCCTTGTACTACTACCTTTAGAAATCCTAGAGATACTCCATCCATTTGGAGAAAAGATATGTCAGTTTTGCCACTGCTTTTTTCTGCGCATATGGTATTTGGATGGCTACTTAATGTGAATGTTAAGCGACCTAGATCTTCAGGGCTTCAAAACTTGTAATCTCTTTTTGCTTTTAATTCCAAAGTAAGAAAGATAGTGTAGGCACTGGAATTAAAAGTTCATTAAAGAAAGGAAGTTTTTGATCTTCCCAATATTTCAGGACTAAGTAATTCTCTTCTGTGTTGCTTAAATTTGAATTGTACTTTCATTGTTCATACCTGCAATCAGAATCAGTAAGCAATGTTTTTTTTCCCTACATCTTTAGTATAAACATTCCCAGCTGGTAGCCCCTCTCCTCCTTAAGCTCCATTACTAAGTGTAGAACTTGCTGGTGATGACAAGGCAGTGGGGACCTGCTATGATCTGTGTCTGTTGTCACTGTATCACCTGCCCCATTCAGCAGTGGGCCCACATTTTCCTTGGTCAGCCTTTTACCACTAATAACAGCAGTAGAAGCTCTTCTTTGTGCCCTTGACATCCCTTGCAAGTCTCAATTCTCTCCAAGCTTTGGCTTCCTTTACAATAATTGTCATCCCTACATGCCCAGGCAGTGTTTCTCAATTCCTCCTTTGTAGCCTGTCTGTCCTCTACCATTCTGTATGCTGCTTTTCACATTCAGGATGGGCTGTGGCTTCTTTGCTTAGCTGAGCTGGCCTCCTGATACTTCCCAGCTGACACACAGTTCTCTCCCCAGGGAAAGGTATTAGGAGGTACAGCAGTGGTGGACTACTGCTAGAGTATCAGTTCTTACCTGTCACACCTTCCTGCAGCTCTGATGAGGAGGGGCATGATCTACTTGATTAGAGGATGGAGCTATCATCAGCTGCTAGCCACTCCAGATTGTCTGCTTTTGGATGGGTACAGAGTGTGATAGCATTCTTCAGCTCCTGCATCCCCTGCTTATGTTCACAATCTAAGTGATGGGGTCTGAAAGCTCTGCTCACAGATCATTTCACACTTTTGCACCTTAGCTAAACCACAGAGTGTAACATTACAGTGTCTTAAATAATAGTAAGTAATAGTAAGTAATATTCCTGAGTTTATCATACATACAATGCACATAATTGAAAATTTCAACTAGCTTTCCAATTCTAGACTCTTGCTGAGACTTACTATAACTGTCTTAACTTTGCCAGCAGGCACTATCATAGTTACTGGGGTGGGTGGTGGCGGGGGTGGAGCCAGAGGACACACTACAGGCAAACGGTACTACAAGTAAATAATTTGGCTTGCATGAATAGCTTTCCTAAAAATCTTTGCTCTGAAGCCTTATTCACCTCAGAGTGCTTTAATTAGTAAAGCCAGTGGGCCCATATTTTGTATAATGGTTAAGTACTGAGAATGTTGAAATGTAGTTTCAATAGCTGTGATTTATTTTTAGTAATCATGCTGTTAGCTACTCTGATCATTGTATAAAATTATGAATTATTAAAGAACAGAGCAGATTCTCCAATTTCCAAATAAAATTAATCCTGTAAATATTAACAGAAACTGTTCTGCTCATGAATGAGCCCAAGAATTAAAAGTTTTATGGCACATAAGTACCAAGTGAAAAAAAAAAATAGTAGACATAGTAGACAAATAGTAGACAAATAGTAGACAAAAAATTAAAGACAGTTTAAAGTGCATTCAGGGATCTCTCTTTTCCTTAAAGGTGCAGAAAATTAAACTGCACATCAAACCTAGCTGCTGTTGTGTTTTGTTATAAGTACCTAATCCTGCAGAAATTGTTTCTGTGTTGAGGAATACTTATGTGGGGCAAAACATAAGCTATGGCACTAAATGATGTATTAGGTACAAGTAACATTAGCACAATTTTGCATGAGAAAGGCTAGAAATTAATCAATAGTTTTATTCTATTTTTCATAGTTGATATGGAATCAAAGTAAAACTAGGCATCCATTATTATTTATTTGATCTTTACTGGAGCTTTTAAGCAGTTTAATAAATACAGATTACCTCTGTTCTAGGTAGAAAGCATGGGAAAGACACCATGCTACAAGGAATTCACAGTCCAAACACACAAGTAACAGTTTGTCTTTGATCATCTCACTTTTAAGGTAGAGTTTTATAGAGGTACCTGTCAAAAATTATTGTAGGAAAGGTACACCAGCACATCTCATCAGAATATGGTCCAGTGGTTTGATTATGAAAACATTCTTACTATCTTCCCTGTAATCCCTTAAAGTACAGAAGAAGTGGTAAATGCTTATTAAAAATAAAAAAGAAAGGGGTCCCTTTTAAAACTGATGCTGTCATGGTTCACACAGAGATCTTAGTCTACAAACTGTTTCTCATCTAGTTACCTAATAAAGCATGTTAATATAACTTTAAACAGGAAACAGGAGTTTCAGGAGTTTCAGGAGGATAGATAAGCACAGGATTCTGTATTTGTAAATCTTTGCTTCACACGCTCACACAGATACAGTATGTTCTTGAAATGTCAACTAGTCATATGCAGGAATCTGGGGCATTATATTAAAAATAGCCTGGTTGTCTTTTTCCCTTTCTATCTGCTGTTGAATCCAAGAGAAAACAAAATTGAAAAGAACTAAAAGGAGGAGTACATGTAAATGCAGTTAGCTCTAGTAACTGGACAAATGGAAGAAAAATTTCCAAGTATTGTTCCTCTTGTTCTTTACTTTGCTGTTACTGTCTCCACAGTAAGATGTTTACCTACATGCACTCAGATAACCTCTTTTTGTCAGTCAGTGGTCAATTCCCTGTATTTCTCATTCCTCTTGCATAACACTTCTTCATGTATATAAATATCAGAGATGAAAAAACTATCTAAAAAATCAAGCAGTATTTATTTGTCCTACAATTTGTGATAAAATTCCCCAGCCAAATTGCAAAGAAGTAATATTCTGAAAACTGAAGATGTTCCCTGCTTATTTAAAAAAGTGAGCCACAGTTTAAAAGAGCACTAGTGATCTCCATTTGTTACTTAAGGATGACTTTTTTTCTTAATGAAGCATATTTAAGAGCTGACATATAAACTCAAAACAAGTTCTTTTCATTTAACTTGGTGACCTTAGGGATCCTGTGACACCTGGCACATTTAAAACTATATTAACAATTATTGTTTTATACAAACAGGCAAGGCAACTGACTGTACAACTAGATAATTTTATCTGGCAGTAAGTAAGTAGATTTTCTGTCTCAATAAGAAGAGTATTTTTTGAGCTATCAGTTGAAGTGTTAATGACCTACAAGCAGGCAAAGTATGCTTGTTAAATGATTTCTTGTTGAGTATATCTGTTCCAATTTATTAAGTTTCTTCTCTCTGTAAATACAGCTATTACTGAGATTCAAATCATCTTTGCTGTTTCCTTCTTCATTTCTTTCCTTAAGCCATGTCTTACTGCAGATAAGAAACCAAAACCTTTCCTGACAAA